TCAGTATTGTACAGAGGTGTTGGGACATTTGCCCATGACATGTAGGAGTCTCGTAGCACCTCTCCACAAGAACAACGTCTACATGGACTTTCAGCTCAGCCAGAAGCTGCAGTAAATGTTGGCAACCAGCACCCTGAGAACTCTGGCTTCAGGGTGATCAGAGATCCAAGACATGTAAGAGAGCAATTCTTGACTCTTGGGTAAGTTTATGACTAAGATCCCAAATAGCAAATATAGCAACAACAAAAGCAAATAAATGAGAATTAAATTTAAAAGTTTCTGAAGGCGGGGCATGGTGACTCACGCCTGTAATCCTAGCTCTCTGGGAGGCCGAGGCGGGCGGATTGCTCGAGGTCAGGAGTTCGAAACCAGCCTGAGCAAGAGCGAGACCCGTCTCTACTATAAATACAAAGAAATTAATTGGCCAACTAATATATATAGAAAAAATTAGCCAGGCATGGTGGCGCATGCCTGTAGTCCCAGCTACTCGGGAGGCTGAGGCAGCAAGATCGCTTGAGCCCAGGAGTTTGAGGTTGCTGTGAGCTAGGCTGATGCCAGGGCACTCACTCTAGCCTGGGCAACAAAGCGAGACTCTGTCTCAAAATAAATAAATAAATAAATAAAAAATCTACTAGATATAACAGAAACAATTCTGTATACAGGCTGTATTAGAAAAATAGTATGTTTTTGGTAAAGAAGATTAAGAAGGCATGAGAATGTGGGTTTTGTTAAAGGAAAAGCAATTTTGCCTAGATGTTTTTAAAGGTCATTTTAAGTTGAAGGGATTAAAAAAGAATGTTAGGTAAAGCTAAAGGAACATAAAAAGTTGGGGAAAGACAGAATGGGAAAAAAGTGTAAGAGGTTATAAAAGGTTTATAGAAATCTTATCTTACGTGGTCAAAGCTGGTTGAGATTCAATGGATCAGCACTTCCATTGTGCATACCACCCTCTGTCTTCAGGACTGGCCGGAACACACAATGGGATAATAAAAAAGCAATTGGCAAAGCTTACAGAAACTTTTAACCTTCCCTGGCCTAAGGTGCTTCCAAGCTTAAATCAGATACTCTTTATTATTGCCAAGGCCTTATAAGCTTCTCACTATAAATTCTAAATTACTTAATTAGGATTCTTTTAACAGCAACCTCCCAGGAGATCAAGACATCAAAGATCATGGTGTCTGATCTGGAGATTTTGTTTATTGGGAAACAGCATCAGGTAAAGGACTCCTTCCAAGCAAATTGGAAGGGATCATATCAGGAAGTCCCACCTGAGTGGGCACCTTCATCACAGGATATCTTCAACACCTTGTTCTTCAGACCAGGACAAGAAGTAGGCAAAGTAGTTGGTTACCTTCAGGAATAGGAACACTTTTCAGATCTGGATTGTAAATTGTTTTATTAATAATTGTCCTTAGGCACGGTGGCTCATGCCTATAATCCTAGTACTCTGAGGGACCAAGGCGGGCAGATCGCTCAAGATCAGGAGTTCAAAACCAGCCTGAGCAAGAGTGAGACTCCGTCTCTACTAAAAATAGAAAGAAATTCATTGGCCAAAAAAATATATATAGAAAAAAGTAGCCAGGCATGGTGGCACATGCCTGTAGTCCCAGCTACTCAGGAGGCTGAGGCAGAAGGAATTCTTGAGCCCAGGGGTTTGAGTTTGCTGTGAGCTAGGCTGACGCCATGGCACTCACTCTAACCTGGGCAACAGAGTGAGACTATGTCTAAAAAAAAAAAAAATTGTCCTTATTTGCATCACATTTTTAATTGTTAAATAGATTTTGCTTTGTATTTCTAGATGTCTAAAGTCAACAACAAAAACTAATCCTAATAGCTAGGTGCTTGGCAATGATCCAGCATGCTGTGGCTTCTTTGTAAGTGGGTGGCCTGAGATCCCATTGTTCTGTCCCTTGTGTTAGCAATCAGTGTGGCCTTGAGACCTCATTAAGCTCGAAAGGCATGATACCTCTCCTCTTTCCTTCCAATGTAGGATGACATTGCCTGGGAATGAGCCTTTCCAGTGACATGTGACAAATTTACATCCAGAATGCTGATCATCGAGGCTCTTAGAAGAGAAAAAAATTTGATCAAAGGAGGGAAATGAGAAAAGAAAAATCACTCAGCAGTCTGAGTTATCTGAGGTATGCAAAATTTATCAGGCCCTGAGAGACTTAAGTATGGGATTTAGGTTTCTCCCTCCCACCCCCACTCCCAAGCCTAGAGGCAATTGTTTAAAGGCGTTTTGTTCTTTTCTTCCCTGTAGTTTCCCGAGTAGCTGCGGCACTCAATATCTTCATGTTTTTGGATTTTATGATACAAACAATAATGTATAGCCAATCAATACCTTTTGCTATTTTAATGTAAATTCTTGGTAAACAATTTGGAGATTGTATCTTTTTTTTTTTGAGACAGAGTCTCACTCCTTTTGTCCTGAGTAGAGTGCAGTGACATCAGCCTAGCTCACAGCTCAAGCCATCCTCCTGCCTCAGGCTCCTGAATAGCTGGGCATATTGGGCCCTTGCCACCACGCCCAGCTAGTTTTTCTATTTTTTGGTAGAGTCCAGGTCTCACTGTTGCTCAGACTGGTCTTGAACTCCTGAGCTCAAGCAATCCTCCTGCCTCGGCCTCCCAGAGTGCTATTATAGGCGTGAGCCACTGCACCTGGCCAGGAGGAAGAGCTCTGACCAGAGGCTCAACAGAAAAATCTTAGAACCTGGGGAGGCTGAGGCTGGAGAACAGATTGAGGCCAAGAATTGGAGGGTGCAGTGACCTATGATCACACCATTGCACTGCAGCCTGGGCAACAGAGTGAGACTCTGTCTCAAATTTTATATATATCTATATCTATATCTATATCTATATCTATATCTATATCTATATCTATATCTATATATAACTAAACATATCTTTAACATTTATATAAATAACAACACAAATACTTATAATCAAATAACATTTATATAATAGCAGATATTAAAAAATACTATATAATGTGATCCTTCCTGAAACACTAACTTATACAACCTGGCCTGCAGATGGCATAAGAATCCTATGGCTTGGAAATCTTTATCTTAAGATCAGGACAGGTGAATTCAGTTTTGCATTCCTCCCCCACCCCCTGCTGGGTGCAAGGCTCTGCTGTTTGTGTAAATCATGATTAAATGGTGGCCATGTGTGAAAGTTGAGTCCAGCTGTGGAGCCAGTGTGCTTGCCTTTCTTTTTTGCCAGAAATAGAGGGTAAGAATGCATGATGAAGAAGGCTGGGGACTTTTGCTAAAAGGAAATAAAAAAAAGAAAGATGCATTTATTGAGCTCTTACGGTATGCAAAGCCCTGTGCCAAGCCCTAAACATGCACCATTTCATTGAACCCTACACGGGTTCCATAAGCTAGTGGCCATAATCATCCTCATGTTACAGGGAAACTGAGGCTGGTGCCCAAGGTCCCTGCCCAGCAACACCAGCCCCTGACTCCTCAGCAGGGTCCTTTGCTCGGGGGCCCTTGGTTTTGGATCCCTCACCACACGGAGGGTCACTAAGTAGCCACGGTCACTTAATGGTTATTCATCGTCTGATGATATTGTAACCATCCCCACAAGAAAGAAAACACTTCTTTAATAGTTATCTTGTGTTTCAAGTTCCCAGGCCAATAAGATTTGCTGACCAGAACTTTGTAACCTCCTGTTGCACTGATGCATTCCCTTTTGAGTCCCTCCCCACCCCAGAAATGGCAGAACCTCCTTGCAGCCACGAGATTCCTAAGCCTCACACCACCTGTTTGTCCAGAGAAGACAAGATAAACGACGCCCACCAGATTGTGTCCAAGGACCCACTGAGCAGCCTCCTCCCCACATCCCACCCGTGCACAAGGCTGAGTGACCAGTATCAGCCCCTAGCTCATTATACTACTAAAACCCCCACCCTCGGAGGGACTTACATGTCATTTTTTGATCATGTGGTATATGTACTAGCATGATTTCTCACTGTGCTTGTGCGCCCTGCACTCCGCCCCAAACATGTAATGACGCTCACTCCTTTCATTCGTTGTTCATATCACCTCCAGATAAACCCGGATTCTGCAGGCTGGGGAGGCGGATCTGAGGCGGCCATCCCTCCCACCTCCTGGTTGACATGTCCTCTGTATCTGTAGTAAATCTCATGTTTGCCCTGACATTGTCACTAATATGACATAGACACCCCCCAAAGGATGTAATTTTAAAAATGTGGATAGAAATATTTGCTCCTGCTAATACACGGTGTGGACATCTGCTTCCAGGGCAGCAGGGTGTGTGTGTGTGTGTGTGTTTGTGCATGTGTGAGGACTGGAAGTGGCTCCTTGTGCAGTGAAGCCAATGTCCAGGAACTAAGGCTTCAGGGCAGCAGGGTGTGTGTGTGTGTGTGTGTTTGTGCATGTGTGAGGACTGGAGGTGGCTCCTTGTGCAGTGAAGCCAACATCCAGGAACTAAGGCTTCTCGATCCATCTAGAGACCCACAAGGAGTGCCCAGGTGTTGGCATCTGGTTAACAGGGAGGGCCCCCTGCTCAGGGGCTTTGCTCCAGGGGCTCAGTCGTTGCCCAATTCCAAAGCTCCAGGCCCTGTATGTCCACCTTCTGTTTATTAACACACGAAACAGCCACAGAATAAAGCAAAGAGGTAGCACACCCAGGAAGGAGAAGGAATTGATCTAAATGATCGAATCTCCTTTTGATGCCTTGAGTTTCTAGGGCTGAACCTCACTGATCACAGACAACTCAGTGTCTCTTTAATATCAGTAACTGAAGATTCCCGAGGTTTAAATTGAAAAACAAGTTAAATGTTCAAACACCAGATGGTGGTTTCCATTGAGGTTCCCTTTATTTTGGACTGTTTCTGTTTTTATTTATTTTTATTATTATTATGCTGCTGGAGTGCAGTGGCACAATCATAGCTCACTGCGGCCTTGAACTCCTGGGTTTGTGCAGTCCTCCCGCCTCAGCTTCCCAAAGTGCTGGGATTACAGGTGTGAGCCACCACGCTCTGCCTCTCGTTTCTTTACATCCATCCATGCAGGGGTAACTCCCTCATGTATCTCTCAAGCCTGAATCCTACTGTAGAAATTCTGATTCTTATTTCTGACTTATAGGACACATGTCCCCAAAGGTCCCAACAGCTCCCCAAGTCAACATTTCCCTCCTGTCCTTCCCTCTGCTGCATTGCCTTCCTTTTCCCATTCCCACTGAGCAGCTGTCAGAAGTGATGGGTTCTGTGCTCTCTTTAACATGCACCTACGTCCTAGGCTTCAGCGGCCCAGTGCCTAGAAGAATGAGGCGTTGGACAGCAAGGTTTACCAAGGCCCAGGTCATAGAACACACTGTGGCCACAGTGAGGGCAGAGGACAGTGCTGAATAAGATCCTCTTGGGCCACCATAAATTCTTCAGTATCTGCCTTAGCTCAGCCCTAAATCGGGCAAGTTTTTCCCAGGAGACGGCACCGCCGGCGTTGTAACTCTCCAGGGGGGTGTCATACAGCTGTAGGCGTAACTGGCTCAGCCTGAGGGTGTGTTGCAGCAGGTTCTCCAGGGCGGCCTTGGAGATGGGGTTCCCGCGGAAGCTGAAGGTTGTGAGCTGGGCACAGCGGCTCAGGGCAGGCAGGATGACTGCGAGTTGGGGGTCCGTGATCCAACATTCGTCCAGTCTCAGGGTCTGGAGGGTGGCAGCGACTTTCTCTAGCAGATGTTGAAAGGGCTCAGGACTGAAATCGGTCGGCGTGATGCGACTCAGGGCCAGGTTCTTTATCTGACTGATGCTCGGGCACTGGGACAGATGCCTCAAGTCCGATTCCGAAAGCAGGCAGTTGGTTATTGAGAGGGTCTCCAAGGGGGTCTTGAGGCACCTGGGGACAGAGGAAGAAGTTAGTTCTGGGGAACTGTAGCAGTGAGAGCAGGGTAGTGGGGAAGGACGTCAGGGTGCAAAATGATAATTTTGCCCGAGCCCAATTACTGTGATCGTCTGATGATGGTCCACACCCTAGATGTTATTTGTTGAAGGCTCTGGTCATTCAGGTCAGTCCCATTTTAGGCTGAGTCCTTGATCACTCATGCAACTGGGTCAAGTCTACAGAATCTCTAAAGCCCCCTTTCCTCCTATGTTGGCAAAAACCCACATTTCTGGGCCACATGAGCCCAGTGGGAGATGTGCATAAAGGACATGCCCAGGCAAGGTCCAGCAACCTGTGCTGGGCTTGCCACCTGCAGGATCAGACATGCCTGTGTCACCAGCAACCATCAATCACTTTTGATAGTTCTTCATTCCTGCTCCCTCACCCCCTAGTGAGGGAAGTTGCATTTTCCATATATTAATTAATTTACTTGGAGCTCAAAACAACCTATTATGCACAGAGACAGGATCATTAGCGTCCACTAAGCTGTTGAGGACAGAGCTTATATTTTGAAAGTCCAGGTCGGATGTGGTTTTCCTTCTTCAGTGCCCTCCTCACTTACCTGTGTCCCATCATCTTACCTCAGACACGCTTCCTCGGGACAAATTCACAAACACACCCTCACTAGATCTGAGACCCCCCAGTAGCTAGTTACCTAGCCTGGAGTCCCTCTCTACAGCATTTACCCCAGTTTATCCCTCTGCCTTTATTGGGCCACTTATGTGACACCCACTTCTGGAGAGAGCAGTGAACACAACTATGAGTTAACATTCGCTGGTACATGTGTCTGCTAGAACAAAGAAAGGCTTTGCTTTGGTCTGCAGAGAAAGCTCACCATCCTTCCTCACCTGAGCACCTGGTCCAGGTGGCCTTCAAGGAAGGAAAGGGAGTTCATATAAAGCCTCTGGAGGTGGTCCAGCTTACGGAACTGAGTCGTGAACTGGGCAATAAACCTGTCCTTCTTCTTTAGGTTGTACACAGAGATTTGGAGGAGAAGTAGTTTTTGAAGATTTCTCATCTCACCCAGATAAGGAGCAAACCTTGCCAGCATGGACAGTTTCCAGCTGCACCTCACGTTTACCTCCTGGATACAGTCCAGGTCCACCATTCTTAGGACTATTCTGATCTTTTGGATTTGCGTTGTAAAAATGCTCAGCTTCGTACAGCACAGGTGTACTAAATCTTTCCTCTGCTTGACCCACGAGAAGAGGTAGGTGAGGAGTTCATCCAGGGATCCTTCCTTGATGTGAAGGTTTATGAACACCTTCAAGGGTTGCTGCCTTCCCATCCTCGGACAATTCTTCACTGTTTTCCTCTTATTCATGGCATGTGGTAAGCATGCATGGGCCACTGCTTCAGACCCTACACTCCAGAAGTTCTCATCAAAATCCTGCAAATCTAGCACTTGCAGTTTCCACCTCCTGTGGGTAAAACAGGCGAGAGTCTCAGAATTTAGGCAAGGCCCACCTCTGACCTGTGTTCTTACTCCACATCCTGAACGCCAGCTGCCCCTGTCCTGCTTCTCCTATTCTCTATCCTCTTTCCTGCTCATGTCATGCCTTGCACCCACTTCTATCACCTTTAAGTGTCACTAAAACGAGGCAGCTACCTGTTCCTTCAGTGTCTCCTGCATGGGAAGCAGTCCTACACTCTAGGATCCCTGTACCATAGTGTGCTCAGCAATGGCCAAGGCCTCTCTGAGCTTTCTCACGGGCTCCATCAGAAGCCTCTGGTCCACCCACCATGGGCCCCCCACTCTCCCTGACCCAGCTGTCTGTCCCCAGACCCCTGGGCCCTCCCTACCAGGCTCCCTGGGTCAGCCTCACCTGGGGCGAACCTTTAGGGCAAGCAGCACATCCAGCCCATCCAGCACAGCTCTTAGGGTCTCCAGGTCAGGGGTCAGCATCAGGGCCCCCAGAGGCAGGCGGGTGAAGGGCCAGGCCTGCACCATGGCCGTCAGGACTTTTCTACATCTGTTGGTGAAGGCCTCCATGAACAGTGGTGGGAAAAGCTCCCTTGGCAGCTCCTCCAGAAGGGGGATGACCAAGGCCTCATTTCTTACCAGGCTCTGCCCCGCCAGTTGCAGGAGTCTGGGTGGGGCCTGGAGACTCATCCTGATGAATCTGCAAGGAAAACATCCTGAGGACACATCCAAGGACAAAGCATTCTTCTCAGGCCAATCCTGATCACCCCCATCTTCTCCTAGGGCCAGTGTCCCTGCTCTGGCAGAGATGGAAGAGTCCTCAGTTACCCCAACTGGACTCTGCACTCTGCGGCCACAAAGCCATACCTCTCCTTCTGCTGCCACCATGACCAGTGTCTCCCAACCAATGAGGAGGGGACAAGGTGACCACTACCCTTTGATTTTCATCTAGTGCTCCATTGAGTTCTGGTCCCACTATGAAGTGCATATGGAGGAGCCTGAAAGCTAGTGCCCACCCTTTTAGGGGAAGTTTCTGAGTATCACTCAAGGCCCTAGGACAAAGGCAGTGGAGTGTCACAAGCCCTACAGGACTACATTCTGAGTTCCTACAAATAATTTGGTTGGGAACATTTAGGGGACATCCCTAAAATGAAGGCCATTTGTTCATTTTTAAAAATTTCAATGAGAAATTGTAAAAGCCATGTGTAAGTTAAGGCTAGAAAACCATGTCTGAGGTGGAGATTCCAACTCACATCTCTTATTACACATACTAAAAATTAACTACTTTAGGTTGAGTCTGGTGGAAGAAATAGATCACATGTTCAGAACAAAGACTCAACTCTTAGAAATATTATGTAGATTATTATATAGAATATTTTTACGCTTTCAGTAGAAAAGAAAGCCTAACTTGTAAAATCATAATACCACAAATTCTATTAACTACAAGAGCGCACAAACTAAATATTTAAAAGCCAAGAGGCCAGGCGTCGTGGCCCATGCCTGTCGTCCCAGCATGTCGGGAGGCTGAGGCAGGAGGATCGCTTGAGCCCAGGAGTTGGAGGTTGCTGTGAGCTAGGCTGACGCCACGGCACTCCAGCCTAGGCAACAGAGCAAGACTCTGTCTCAGGCAAAACAAAACAAAACAAAACAAAACAAAACAAAACAAAACAAAAAAAAGCCAAGAAATAAAATTTTAATCAATTGGGTTTTTTAAAAACATCAGCTTGGTTGAGCATTTTTGGTTTTTTTTTTGAGACAGAGTCTCACTTTGTTGCCCAGGCTAGAGTGAGTGTCGTGGCATCAGCCTAGTTCACAGCAACCTCAAACTCCTGGGCTCAAGCAATCCTCCTGCCTCAGCCTCCCGAGTAGCTGGGACTACAGGCATGTGCCACCATGCTCAGCTAATTTTGTCTATGTATATTAGTTGGCCAATTAATTTCTTTCTATTTTTATAGTAGAGCCGGGGTCTCGCTCTTGCTCAGGCTGGTTTCGAACTCCTGACGTTGAGCAATCCTCCCACCTCGGCCTTCCAGAGTGCTAGGATTTCAGTCTTGAGCCACCGTGCCCGGCCTGGTTGAGCATTTTGAAACGATTATCAACCAAAGCGCAAATAGATTTTTGCAATGCAGACAAAACTGCGGTTACAGGAAATATCAAATCCCTAACTGTTCATCTGAAAAACACATAGGATCATCCTCCGTGCCATTTTGAGCTCCATGTCCCCATCTGAGACTGGCTGACGGTAGACCAGATGGGACTGTCGCTATGGGGGTGGCTGACTTACCCAATCTGGAAGCAGTCTGCAGGGCTTTGGGTTCTCTGTGGATCTTCAGGAGCTCACATTGAGCTTTCTAGTCACTTGTTCCCTTTTCAACTTCCAGCTTCCAATCAGAATGTGGTATTTGATGAGATTTCTGAAGCTCCACCCAGTTTATCATGATTGAATTTTTGGCTCTCCCGAGGAGGTTGGTTGATTGAATCAGATATCTAATTATAAAACTGAAGAATTAGGGATGGGCTGAAAGTCAAGAATTCATTCCTTCATGCACTCCATAAACATTGATGGAGTTTTACTAATATGTGACCTTCATAGTCCTGAGTGTGACCCACAGCGTCCAGCCACTTTCACCTTTCTTTCTTTTCTTTCTTTCTTTTCTTTCTTTCTTTCTTTCTTTCTTTCTTTCTTTCTTTCTTTCTTTCTTTCTTTCTTTCTTTCTTTCTTTCTTTCTTTCTTTCTTTCTTTCTTTCTTTCTTTCTTTCTTTCTTTCTTTCTTTCTTTCTTTCTTTCTTTCTTCTCTTTCTTTCCTTCTTTCTCTCTCTCTTTCTCTCTTAGACAGAGTCTCACTCTGTTGCCCAGGCTAGAGTGCTGTGCCATCAGCCTAGCTCACAGCAACCTTGAGGTTGACGCTAGGCTGACGCCACGGCACTGTAGCCCGGGCAACAGAGTAAGACTCTGTCTCAAAAAAAAAAGAGATCGCTTTTTTCAGTTATTTTGTTGGAAGGTCCCTAATCACATAATCAAATGTTAGTTGGGTGCTTATTTTTTATTTTTACTTTGTTTAATTTTTTCGAGACAGAGTCTCACACTGTCATGCAGGCTAGAGTGCAGTGGCGTCAGTCTAACTTACAGCAACCTCCAACTCCTGGGCTCAAGTGATCTTCCTGCCTCAGCCTCCTGAGTAGCTGGGACTATAGGCCCTCTCCACCATGCCCAGCTAATTTTTCTGTGTTTAGTAGAGTCCGGGTCTCAGTCTTGCTCACATTGGTCTCAAACTCCTGACCTCAAGCGATCCTCCTGCCTCGGCCTCCCAGAGTGCTAGGATTATAGGCGTGAGCCACCCACCTGGCCAGTTGGCTGCTTATGATTGGCTGAGGTTAAGTTTTGTTTTTGTCTAACTTGAGAATTTACCAGAAGTGCCGCAAGTTAAGTTTTGCTTATATTTGCCATATCACTTGGGTTAAGGCTATTTTTGTAGCCTTTAGTTGGTTTTGTTTGCCCAGGAAGTTTTCATGCCGGTCTCCATTTTAATTTTGCTTCAACTATTCTGCCCTTTTAGTCATCCTCTTGGCAAGCTGAGCGTGTGACTAAATGGGATAGCATTACTCTCCGTTACCGCCATTGACCTAGTCACAGGGTTGAGGAGGCAGGTCGATGCTGTCAGGAGGTAGGTCCATAGTATCATAATCAATAAATAGGCTGGAGCTCAGAGTCGTGCAGCCATGATCAGTAATTACATAGTCAGTGCTGGTTTCTTCAAGTTTTCTGACCCTGCTGGCAATCATCTGGCATGGGAATGGCTATAGGAAAGCACTTAAAACCCCTGAGACAAGACAATGCACATAGGTGGGGGCCGGGACACATTATCTATAAGGAGAATAATAACCAAGAATTGGGGCCGGGCGTGGTGGCTCACGCCTGTAATCCTAGCACTCTGGGAGGCTGAGGCAGGTGGATTGCTCGAGGTCAGGAGTTCGAAACCAGCCTGAGTAAGAGTGAGACCCCCGTCTCTACTCTAAATAAAAAAATTGGCCAACTAATATATATATAAAAAGTTAGCCGGGCATGGTGGCGTATGCCTGTAGTCCCAGCTACTCAGGAGGCTGAGGCAGGAGGATCACTTGAGCCCAGGAGTTTGAGGTTGCTGTGAACTAGGCTGATGCCAGGGCACTCACTCTAGCCTGGGCAACAAAGCGAGACTCTGTCTCAAAAAAAAAAAAAAAAAAAAAAAAAAAAAAGATCAATGGTGGATAGCATCCTACGAGGCCAAGAGGAAAGATCACTCAAGGTCAGGAGTTTGAGACCAGGCTGAGCCTCAAAGAGTGAGATCCCATCTTTACTAAAAATAGAAATTAGCTGGATAACCAAAATATATATAGAAAAAAAAAATAAAACTTAGCCGGACATGGTGGCACATGCCTATAGTCCCAGCAACTCTGGAGGCTGAGGCAGAAAGATTGCTTGAGCCCAGGAGTTTGAGGTTGCTGTGAGCTAGGCTGACACCACAGCATTCATTCCCTCTAGCCTGGGCAACAAAGTGAGACTATGCCTCAAAAAAAAAAAAAAAAATCAATAGTGGAGCTAATGATTATCTGACGAAAAACTCCTATTTGTTCTTTAAGGTCTAGTAACCTTTGGGTGATAATACCTCATTTGCTAACGTAAAAACATCGCTTCTCACAAGTTAGGGCACAAGCTCTTCCCTGTTGAGCAGCTAAAATATCAAGAACTCTTTTATTTTGGAGTACTACTGAGGCCAAATTATTCATCTCAGATTGCACTATTTGAAGAGAATTCAAAGTATCATTAAAATTTTTTCAAGAGTTGCAGAAATAGTAAGCAATTTTTGCCAATTCGGAGACCCTCCACTGAGGAAAATAGGCTCTTTCAAAAGAATGAAATTTAAAACCTCTTGGTATGATTGGGTTTGAGAAATCATGAGAGTCTCTCCTGTGAGGCATAACTTTATGTACAAATGATTCTAAGTTGAGGATTATATTAGCATTTAAGGAGATTTATCTGGTTATTTTAGGTAGGAATAGCCCAAACCACAGTGTCCAGAGTATTTAGGTGGGAAACCTTTATACTGTGAAAGTATCAAAATCAAAATGGAGTCACCAGTGTCAGACCCTGACAAAATGGAGCAATGGAAGGCCATGAAGGGAGGGTTCTCCCTCACAGGTGCCTGATAACAAGAACTAACACAAAAGACTCTGCAAAAACCACAACTTTGTTTACAAACTACCACAACTTTACACAAAAAGTACTTTTGTGAGGACACATGCCCTACAAGTCTTAGTCCATTATTGGACTGATGCCACCCTTATTTTTATCCTTGTATTTAAGGATAATTGTTTAAAAACAACGTATGGAATCCTCCTTATTTTTCCTTTACAAAACCCTTCTTTTCTTTTTTCTCCCCAAATATGCCCACCTGTATTCCTATTGCAATACTCATTCCCGAGTAAATATAATTTTTTGAAGAGTCTCTTTCTGTGTCTGTTATAAAATTTAAGATGACATAATCTAGTGTCCAGAAGTGAGACCTAAGCAAGGTCACCTCAGAAGATTGGCAGCCGTGGAATCCAGTGTAGTTCTGAATTGTTTGTACTCCACTTCCGTGCGTCTTCTCGTCTGCCCAACTGATTCCATTCAGGAATTCTTGGACTCCTTTCTTTGGGTGACTTTTTGCCTTCATTTGGGATATAGTTCGGTTATAAGACTGTCTTAAATAAAATACTTTGCATCCTTGGATACAGAAGAACTTTTTCTATTCTGACAAGCCCATTATATTATGAGGACACCTTTATTCCTGGTGAGAATTCTGTTTTCTACATCACTTATGCTCTGTCTGTGAAGCTCTTTTTTTCTTTTTGGTGAATTCACTTTTATTTTTTTCTCTGTACCTAGTTTAATATTTTGCTTGGTTTCCAAGCCTGGTCTAAAATTTTTATGAGCGTTCTTATTTTGATTTCATTTAGTTTGGTTAATGTGTCTGTCTATGGTTCGACTTTTTTACTTTTTATTCTCCCTACATGTTTCTGAACATGTTTTCAGAGCAAAAACAAACATTCTAAGAGGCAGCACAGGATGGCCAGGTAAAAGCCACTAAGGCGGTCACTGCCAAATATGAGGGACTCTTATCTCAGAAGAAAACGTCTCTAGTGTTAGGATAATCTGGACATGGATGGGCAAGATTACCAATAGGGCATAAGCAAATCTCAAGGCAATTTCCATGAAACCACAGAAAACTTGGTGACAGGTGGAACAAATAGGGCAAAGACCATCCCTCAAGTATAAAAAAAGAATTCTGGGCGAGGTACACTTGTCAAAGCAAAGTACTTTCTTTGCCCAAACCCTTAAAATTTTCTGATAGAATTTAGAGGATTTTCTTTGCTCTAGAGATAGTAATAAGAAATAAAATGGGATTCTCAAAATTCTAAGGCAGGCCAAGTCCTCTGAGACCCTAGCTGGCTCTATCTACATTCAAAATTCATAGCCAGGCCAGGCGCAGTGGCTCACGCCTGTAATCTTAGCTCTCTGGGAAGCCGAGGCCGGCAGATTGCTCGAGCTCAGGAGTTCAAAACCAGACTGAGCAAGAGTGAGACCCCCTCTCTACTATAAATAGAAAGAAATTAATTGGCCAACTAGTATATATAGAAAAAAACTAGCTGGGCATGGTGGCGCATGCCTGTAGGCCCAGCTACTGGGGAGGCTGAGGCAGAAGGATTGCTTGAGCCCAGGAATTTGAGGTTGCTGTGAGTTAGGCTGATGCCACAGCACTCACTCTAGCCTGGGCAACAAAGCGAGACTCTCAAAAAAAAAAAAAAAATTCATAGCCATTCTCAGGTCCATTTTGACTTTACTATTATTATTATAATAGTAAATAGCTTACTTTTATGCATATGCATGCATTTATGTAACTAAAATTTTATGTTTATAGACTTACGGGCTACAAGTGCAGTTTTGTTACATGGACTTTAGTAGTAAAGTCTGGCTTTTAGTGTACCAGTCACCTGAATAATGTAAATTGTATTCGATAGGTAATTTTTCATCCTTCACTCCCTCCACCCTTTCACCTTTTGGAGTCGCCAATGTCTATTACTCCACTCTGAATCAGAAGAGGAGTTGGCAGCTGGGCACTGCTCCCCGCATGGGCAGGAGTCAGGTCAAGAGAAAACCACCAGACAACTGAGCCCTCCATCCGCAATAGCAAGCTGCTGCTTTTGCTCAGCCCCCACCTGGGACTTATAGTCTGGCTCAGTGCCCTGGATGGCGACATAAGGGAAGGCGCCGTGGGCAGCAGCGACCAGGAGAGAAAGAGAAAAGGAGAGAAAACAAGGAGAAAGAGAGGGAGTTGGAATGGCACTGGCAGTAGGGAGGGAGGGGAAGGAGGGAGAGGGAGCCATGCACTGAGGTAATCTTTGGCAGAGAAGTAAATCCCCCAAAAGAAAGTATTTCAGCCAGGCGGGCGTGGTGGCTCATGCCGGTAATCCTAGCACGCTGGGAGGGAGGCCGAGGTGGGAGGATTACTGAAGGTCAGGAGTTCGAAGCCAGCTCTGAGCAAGAGCGAGACCCCGGCTCTATTATAAATAGAAAGAAATTAATTGGCCAACTAAAAATATATAGAAAAAATTAGCCGGGCATGGTGGCCCATGCCTGTAGACCCAGCTACTCAGGAGGCTGAGGCAGCAGGATCGCTTGAGCCCAGGAGTTTGAGGTTGCTGTGAGCTAGGTTGATGCCACGGCACTCACTCTAGCCTGGGCAACAAAGTGAGACTCTGTCTCAAAAAAAAAAAAAAAAAATTAGCCAGGCATGGTGGTGGCACATGCCTTTAGTCCCAGCTACTTGGGAGGCTGAGGCAGGAGGATCCCTGGAGCCCAGGAGTTTGAGGTTGCTATGAGCTAGGTTGATGCCACGGCACTCTAGCCCGGGCAACAGAGTGAGACTTTGACTCAAAAAAAAAAAAAAAAAGAAAGAAGTATTTTAGTTAGAAAAAAAATTCTATTACTAAATTCAAGGCCAGTTGGAGTTTTATTTTCCAAGCCAGCCCTAACCAAACAATAAACATCCAAGAATTAACTAAAACAACTGAAAGCAACCTGATTTTAAAAAGAAGGAAAAATGTAAAAGAGGCTTTTAGAAACCAAACTGCTATTGGAACTACTTTGCCCAAAATTTGTTCCATAGTTTTTATAAGATTACCTACCAGGACAAATGAAAATCTTAGTGTTTTGACACATAAACAGACGACCTTAACTTTTTCCATTTTATCAGAGAAGTAATTTATATCCAACTGTCTTTTTATAAACTGGGGAGTTTATATTACTATATTTTTCTGTATGACAACTGAAATTTTGAAATGAAACCGAAAGATCTTTATTTTTGTCCATCTTTATGTTTTTATATGTTTGTGTCAGCATATGTACATGGTTTTTAATTGACCAAGCTCCATTTAATTGGCTTCAAGCAAAAAAATTTTGCTTGACTTACATCAAGTAATTTATTTTGCACTTACATCAAGTAATTTATCAGAAATATAGTAATTAACTTAATCCTTCTTAGGGTCATGTGACTTGGGTAAATCTTTGATATAAACTAATTTAAAATTATTGGCAAAATAGATATAGAAATATTTGCATAATTGTCAACATTCAGGTTTTCCCATGGATTACTGTTCAGACAGCTTTATATTTGTCTCTGGCAGATGTTTTAAGGCCATAATACTATAAATCCAGCCTTAAAAGCAAAATGAGGACCACGCGCAGTGGCTCACACCTGTCATTCCAGCACTTAGGTAGCTGAGGCAGGAGGATTGCTTGAGCCCAGGAGTTCGAGGCTGCAGTGACCTATGATTGTGCTCCTGCACTTCAGCTTGGGTGACAGAGTGAGACTCCACCTCAAAAATAAATAAATAAATAAAAAAGCAAAATGATCTTTGTGTAACTCTTTGATGAATAAGATGTTTAATACTGTCGATTTAATAAAAAGAGCTGTATTAAAAATACCCGTATATTTTACTTAATGATCTTACTTAGGAAAACACCTGACATTCACGTTATAAAATAATATATCAGGCTCTAATATCTCAGTTTCATAAGTAATATAGATGTAACTACTAAAAATAAACAAATGAGGTACATGTAAGCGGGATGGGCTGGCGGGGCGGCAGCGGCCGGGACCCGGCGGGCTGAGGCGGAGGGGTCGGGGGCTCCGATAGTTCCGGCTCTGGCGCGCGCGCCCTGAGGAGCGCCCGGCGGCAGCGCGGCTGCGGCTGAGGAGAAAGACGGCTCCGGGCCTCCTCGTCCTCCGGCTCTCCCGACCCCCGCCCTTCGCGGGGCGGCAGCGGGCTGTTCTCGGCCCTTTAGTACAGGCGGCTGGTGGCCCGCCGCGCGCTCGGCGGCCTTTCGCAGACCGACCCCAGAGCCGGTGGCTGCGGGCTGGTGACGGCTGTCTGCGGCCACGGCAAGGACTTCCGAAAGGGGCTCCTCAAGAAGGGCGCATGCCGTGGGGACGACGCTCTGCCGAGGCGCTCGGTAAGTCCCTGGCCCGGTACCCGCGCCCCAGCCCCGGATCCGCCTCCCGGGGACGCCCCTGCGCCGGCTCCCCTAGTGCCTCCCCTTGGCGAGCGGAGCCCAGCGCTCTGAGGCGCGGCTTCGCTGGAACAACCCCCATTTTAGAGATGAGGACACTGAGGCGCAGAGTGGTCTAGCCGCGGGCGCAGGGTCACGGTCTGAGGATGTGAACAGTATGTCGGAATCCAGAGGCACATAAGTCACTTGGCTGCGCCGCCGCCTGCCCCCTTCCCGCTGTCCCTCTGCGACACCCGCGGGTTCCCAGCCTGGCTCCCTCCCTCTTGGCTCTGCGCGCCCCGGGGGTCCCTGCTGCTTCGCGGGCTCCGGACGCCACAGCCGGGCCACCGGCTGCGGGATCCCCAGCAAACACAGTTGGTCACTGTTGGACCCCAGGTGGTCCAGCCGTTATTCTTTCGCCACCTGGATTGTGACCAAATCTGCATCCTTTTCGGAGTCCCGCAGCCGGGGCGCTGAGGCTTGGTGGAGAAACTCTCACAGTGCCTTCTCCCAGACTGATCTTGTCCACTTGCAGTCATTTGGCGGGGTGGGGTGACAGAGATGTCAGTCTCCTTGACCCAAAATAGAATGTCCGAACCTGCTTGTAGACCGCAGCCGAGAAAGCTTTGAGAATTGGTCGAAGCCTTTCCAGGCCACAGGTGTTTCCTACAGCCTGTTCCAGTTACACCTTTGGAGGTGGAAGACTAGGGACAGAGCTTGCAGAAAAGGGTAATAATTCGCATGCAGAGACTTTACCATAATGTACATCTTTGGAGACCTTGTGTATACCATAGAATAGCCTTCTATTAACGTTTTTGTGTAAATAAAGCACTTTGAAAAAAAAATGGGATGAACATCAAAAAATGAACTTTTAATGTAATTTGAGATCTTAAAGCTATAAGGTTTAATTAATAGACACTAAAGTTTCCCAGTCATTTCCAAATATGATAATATATGGAAACATGTATTACTGAACATATGTTCAAATTTATTCAATTTTGACTTAAATATTATAAAAGACAATAATATTTTGACAATAAACAGTAAATATGTCCTGTCACACATTGAAAGATTGTTCTATAGGCAAATCTATGTTTCTGAAAACATAGATATATATTTATAGCTGTTGATATATGACAAACAGTTCAAAATAGCTTACTTCCTAGTTTTTCTCATCATTTAAGTTAGAGTTAATAGTCTAATTAATACATATAATTCTTTTTTTATTATTTTTTAATTTTTTTTTCCAATGTTGAAATCTTGTTTAATTCTGAATGTAATTCTTTTTTTTTTTTTTTTTACTGGTTAATTCTGTGATGATAAACTATATAGTGTTACAGAAAACCTGAAACTTCTTCTATTTGACTCTCATCTCTTTTTTTTTTTTTTTGGTGATATGGACTTTTAAGTCACACCTTCCACTCTCCTACCTGTGGCAGCTGAATTGGGAATGGTGCCCTGAAACTCCCTGAGAAGACTAGAGACTTGGGTTTGATGTGTGGATAGGGGATGTGATCAGAGTTGACTGTATTAAAGGTATCTTCCTTTACCCTCCCAAAAGCAGCAAGGGGCTCCTGAAATCTGAGTCAAGTATCCTGTCCTCCTCCACCAGACCCTGTGTGTGATCCTTCCTGGGTTTGAGGCTGGATCCTTTTATCCCAGACCTGCCCAAAGCCAGATCTAGTGGTTCTGTGAGTTCAGGACCTTGCCAGTGGTTAGCAAGGAGCCAGCTTTATGCAGGCCCATAAGGCCATGTTTATTGATGCCTGCTGTCTTCCAAGATACAGATCTCAGTCCACCTACAGAGGATGGTCAGCTTCCTTATTCCTGAGAGGCAAGCTGAACTTGGATTTTTTTTTTTTTTTTTTTTTGAGACAGAGTCTCACTCAGATATAGAGAAAAGATTTTATGGTAGAAAAAAAAAAAAAAGGAATCTAATGATGTATAACCAGAAGCTCATACCCACTTGCCAGAAGAGATCTGGAAGGGAGATAAACTATTGGCAGCGGAGCATCTGCTGCTCTTCTTAGGGCTCTGAAAAGCTGGGGTAGGGTCAGCAGATAGAACTCGGCTTCACCTGCCCTTCTAAGATAGTGTTCAAAGGAAGGGTCTGGATGGTGGACCCTGACCTGCACTCTGGAGGCCAGGATGGTAAGGTTCACTAAGGTCTGGATGTTAAAGACCACGCCCAAGCAAGAGCAAGACCCCTCTCTTACTGAAAAATAGAAAAAATTAATGGCAAGCTAAAAAATATATAGAAAAAATTAGCTGGGCATGGTGGCGCATGCCTGTAGTCCCAGCTACTTGGGAGGTGAGGCAGGAGGATGCTTGAGTCCAGGAGTTTGAGGTTGCTA